TGGAACCGTACCGAACCGTACTGTACCGTACTGTACTGTACCGTACTGTACTGTACCGAACCGTACTGTACCGAACCGTACTGTACCGAACCGTACTGTACCGTACTGTACTGTACCGTACTGTACTGTACCGAACCGTACTGTACCGAACTGTACTGTACCGAACTGTACTGTACCGAACCGTACTGTACCGAACCGTACTAACACTACACTAAGTGGCACTAGTGGAAAAGGGGCAAATGTTGGTTTGAGCAGGTTTTATCCTTTAATAAATGAAATCAATATTTCAAACCTGTTGTATTTACTCAGGTTATCTGTCTGACAATAACATTTGTTTTATTAACTGAAACATTTAAGTCCCCCCCCCCCCCCCCCACACACACACACACACACACACAGCATGTTTCAGTTGTTCAGTGTGGCGCTCAGACAGTTTGCAGGTGTGCAGGACCACAGCAGCCCAGGTCTGCAGGGTCTCTGGGAGTGTGTCGAGTCTCAACATCTGCAGGTGTTCGATATGAGCTTCTCTGTGTGAAACGTGTGTAACGTGTGAAACGTGTGTAACGTGTGTAATGTGTCTGTCAGCCAATAAGTGGGCGGGGCTTGGACTCCCTCCGTGCTCTCCTGAGGAAGACCAATGTGCACAGGTCCAAGTCAGCCACAGTGAAGCCTCCCTCCCTGTGTGTACTTTATCGACAGAGGAACACACACTGTGCTGTGTGCTCATCTGTTTACTGGATCAGATGTGATGTCACCAGCATCACGTCCAGCCTGAGCTGCTGTCACCTCTCCTCTGACTGACCACTGCCCTTTGACACAGACATGGGCTCATGAGGATGATGAGCATTCATCAGGTTCAGTCCTCTGTGGGAGGAGCTTTCTTCTGTTGAAATAAGACGATCTGCTCCTGCCTGTCCACCTGCAAACATCTGGATGAGCTGAACGTGAGTATCTGCTCAGCAGCTGCTTTGAATTAGATCAAGTGTCTGTTTTAAAACACGTGTTGTGTTTCTCTTCAGGAGATGGAGAACAGAGACATGATGCCTTTCACCAAGCAGATGCTGCAGCAGAGGCCCAGCTGGAGCCTGCTGAAGCTCTACGCTCTGGGCTCCACGCTGGCGCTGCTGGGGATGCTGGGAGGAATGATGGAGATGATCCTCCTGCCCTTCCTGCACCACGACACCACCGAGGAAGAGACAGACACGTTTCTCATCCAGCAGAGGACAGACAGGAGGTCGTCCCTGCCGCCTTCTGCCTGGCTTTGTTTGGGGGTCGAGGACATGATGGAAGGCTGGTCTGAGGCCAAACATCTGGAGCCAGCTGTGCAGAGGAGCTCAGCCAACCGCTTCCATGCCTCTTAAAGAGCTGCCTGCTGCACACAGGAGGTGGGAGGGGCTGCACTGGTCTCTTTTTACTCTTTATTTATTCCAGACATGCTCTAACTCCTTCTTCCTGTTGGTGAAACAAACAAACAAACAAACAAACAAACAAACAAACAAACAAAGAAAAGAGGAAGTGTTTCAGAGAAAACTGCAGGATACAGTGAGGCTGCTGGGCAGCAAACTTTACTGAATGAGATGTGCTGGATGTTGTAAAAATATGTTTTTATTTCATTTTCTACTAATAAACTTTTTATTCTGCTGAGAATAATTTAAAGCTTGTTTCATTGTGTGGATTCAAAGATGAAAAACACATTATTCATATAACTGTAATAATTTAGACCGGGCATAACTTATACACGAGTGTGTTTTATTCAGATTTGTCCAGTGTTTCATGAAATACTTTGTTAAAAACACACAAACACATTTATACAGGTGAAAACATTAGTGCTCACCTTCACCTGTCAGCAGCAGCTGAGAAAAACCTGCACCTTTCTTTTCTTTTTATAATTTTTTTATTTTGTAATAAATTTTCATAAAATAAGAATAGAATAAAACCAAAAAGAATAGCATGCGTCATATAT